TGTGTGTGTGTGTGTGTGTGTGTGTGTGTGTGTGTGTGTGTGTGTGTGTGTGTGTGTTTTCCGGCTCCCACAAGCATGGGGGATATCTCTGCATATGCTCCTGGACCTGGAAACGCACTCTGCACATGCCCCAGAGTCAGGGAGGTCAGGGCAGAAGGGGGGGATAAAAGTGCCTCCTGTTCCCCAGCTTTAGGAAGAAGGGGGGGACCGGACTGGCCCCTATTTCCCTGGCTTTGAATCACCACCCCCTCCAAACCCCAGACCAGCCTCCCCTCCAGCAGGCAAGCAAGTGCACACTCATTTCACTCCTGTCCAGGTTTCCATCCATCTATCCATCTCTCTCTCACCTCCCTGCCTTATTCAGCTCCAGGCAGAAGCAGCCATCCACAAGTCGGGGATTGAATACCCAGGGCTGCCCTAAACAATCAAGCCACCTTATCTCTGATCTCTTTGAAAGAACCAGAGGATTTACAAGGGACTCAACCAAGGAAGTAACAGGGAGAGGTTTGGCTGCAGGGGGTGGGGGTGGGGGTGGAGATACAAAAGTCGGACATTTTGAAGTTTTTTAGTTTTGCCTGCCGGATGGAGGACATGATCCTGAAAAGTAGGACATGCCTTCCTTTTGCCAGACGTCTGGCAACCTTACGCAGAACAGAACATCTTCAAGTCCTCCAGTTTAGTCAACCTCTTTTTCTCATTAATTGGCACCTCTAGTCTCAGTAACTCACTCAGAGACATTTGTAAATGAAAGACTAAATGGTTTCACTTACTTACAGTCAAACAGATTAAACAGCAAACTAACAAACGTGACTGCTTTCAACAACAGAATTCAAAAGACTCACCGACTGCTTCCAACAGACAAGAGAAAGGAAAAAGACCTGAGCAGAGAGGCGGGCTCTCTTTGAATTCCAAGGCGGGAGGGAATGAATGGTTAGTGCTGGATTGACTGACATTTCCCCCAGCCCAGGAAAAGTCTCTCCCAGCCAAATATACTAAAGGCAGCATGCGAGGTTGTAAATAGTCCAACAGTTTGTAGGGCTATGATTTGGATGGTGGAGCAAGCTTGCTTTCTGTAGCTTCAGGGGAAAATACAAAGTCACGAGTTAAAATTACAAAGAAGGAGATTTCAGCTGAACATTAGAAAGAAGGTTATCGAGGTATTGAGGACAAGAGCTGCTTGACAATAGAACAGATCACCCCAGAAGATTGTGGACTCTCTTTCTGTGGTGGTTCTTGAACAGTGGTTGAACAACGGTGTGTCCAGGTTGTGTCAAGTTGTGGATTTCCTGTTTTGGAAGCGGGTTGGACTGGATGACCTTCGGGGTCCTTCCCAACTCTGCCATTCTATGACTGAGTGGAAGAATTAAAAATGCCAGCCCATCTGGCTGTCAGACCGTGTCTGGGCGGAGTTTCACCCAGGCCCTTGCTGGGCTTCTGCCTTCCACCCTGAGCTTTTTCCATGTTGATTTCCTGCCCAGGGAAGGGCACCCATGGGGTTTAGGCTCCTGTTCCATTTGCAGAGAACCCACAAAAGCCAAGGCAGGAAACAGTTGCGGCCCGCTTTGGAGATGGCCCTGCTCTTTCATCCCAGAAGCCTCTTGAAGCGTTAGGAAGGCCGAGTGCCGTAAGGTAGATCACTGAGCCGGACTTTTGCTTTCCCACCTCGCCGTTCGTCTCAGCCACAACAAAATCTAATCTGTTGGCTCCAGCTTTCTTCCCGTTGGCCACAAAACAACAACAATGTGCCGTTGGAAGCCACCACCACCCCGCTCTCCCCCAGAACCACTCCGTTTCTCCTGAGTTGATCTCTACTGGTTTCCAACTACACCATTTTTTTATTCCAGCTGCCCCTTTTGTGCCCAACTGCACACTAAAAACCACCACCATCCTGGTTGGCTTGCTTAATTCGATCTCGCCACCCTGACCCTTCCAAGGGTTACCAGGTCTCAGGGCACTGAAGGCTCGGGGAATGAATGTGCTTCTCGGGGTCTCCATGCAGGGAGACAAATCTCAGGGTTAGTGGTTTGAAGTGTTTGCAACCTCGCATGCTGCCTCTATTAGGCGTGACTGGGAGGGACCTTTCTGGATTGGGCTGACTGTCAATCACTAACAGCACTAACCAATAGGTCCTTCCCTGCCTATGAATTCAAAGAGAGCCCCGCCTCTCTGCTAAGAACTCTTTCCCCCTCTTGAGTCTGTTGGCAGTCAGTTAGTCTGTTGAGGTCTGTTGCTCAAAGCGGCCATATTTTTCGCTTGCTGTTATCTGTTCAAATTTAAGTAGACTTTTTTTTTAATTCTTTCTCTTATTGATGTCTCAGAGTAAGTTACTGAGGCTGTGACTGCCAAGTGATGAGAAAAAGGGGTGGTGTAATCTGGGGAACTATTCTGCAGCTAATTGAGGCTAATTGATGAGGTGCTGTGGCATGTCTCAGTCATGTGTCTGGTCATGTGCCTGACTGCACAACTGAAAGGCACCTCATTAATTCACTGCAATTAGCTGCAGGAAGTGACACCTGAGGTACTAATAGGATTTTGGCTTCTTTGTGATAAATCATTTACTTATGGTATGCATGGACCTGAACACCAACAGGATTCTGGCTAATAGGATTACAAGGGAAATATGAGATAAAGCAATGCTTTTTCTCCCATTTGACGGGGGAAATAACACTTTTAATATGAATGCATCAATTTCAGCATGGTATTTCCAAGGTTTCATTTAGACTAGAGCAAAGAAAATCATGGACAGAAGAAAGAGGTTATGCCTCGCTCATTCACCACAGAGCTAAATCCCTAGATCGGTTGAAGTGGCCTCTCCACAGCTCCTTCACACAAAATAAAACTAAACGTTACGCAACCCACAAATCCGTGGGAGAGCCTGCTGACGGCGGATCTCCTCCATCTTGTATAGCTGCGCCCTGAAAGTAAACTTTTTTTTGTCTGCACAGGGATTAATGGTGTTCTCTATTTTAATTCAGGGGTGGGGAAATATTCCACCGCAACCACTGAAGCTGGAGGTGGGGACCTCCCCAGCTCTGGAAATGTTAGATCTGTCCATCTAAAATCCGAAAAGAAAAGCAGAATTGTGCAATAGCCATGCACAAAGAATGAGCGTGAGCTGCTTCTGGGTGGGGCCGGTGGAGAAAGCTGTTTTAAAAAAGGAGGGCAGGAGAGCCACAGCAGTGGCGACAGATTAATTGTGCTGAGCTAATGGGAAGCCCACGAAGACATGGAAATAGAGATTTTGTGTTACCTCGGTCCAATCATCCATCCAAATGGAGACTTCAGCCAAGAAATCAGAAGCAGACTTGAGACTCAGAAGGGCAGCAATCATGGAATTATAAATTAGGTGTAAGGATGTTTCACTGGAGACCAAGATCATGTATTTATTATTTTATTTATTTTATTTATTCGATTTTTATCCCGCCCATCTAGAGGAAGGGTCTATCATTCGCACACTTGTCCTTCAAATCACTGTGGATGGGTGTGAAATCCGGATAGTAAAGAAAGCTGAAAAGGGAGGGAGGGGGAAGTTAATTTGAAACGTGGTGCTGGAACAGAGCTTTGCGGATCCCCTGCTCTGCCAGAAAGAGGAACAAGTGGGTCCTAGATCAAATCAAACCTGAACTCTCTTTGGAGGCAAAAAATGTTGAAGCTGAGGCTGTTCTACTTTGGGCACATCTTGAGAAGGCAAGATTCTCTGGAAAAGACACTAATGCTGGGAAAAGTGGAAGGCAGCAGGAAAAGAGGAAGACCCAACACGAGATGGTCGGACTCCCTAAAGGAACCCACAGGCTTGGGTTGGCTGGAACTGAAAGGGGCTGTTGAGGACTAGACCTATTGGAGATCGCTCACTTATGAGGTAACCACGAGTCACAGGTGAATTGATGGCAAGTAACAATGTACCGCATTTTTTCTGTGTACAAGATCCCCCATTGTATAAGACGACCCCCAATTTTGACCCATGCCGGAGGCGGAAGAGCCGCCACACTTGGCCACCCTTCACAGGTGTCCCTTCAATGTACCGCATTTTTTCTGTGTACAAGATCCCACATTGTATAAGACGACCCCCAATTTTGACCCATGCCGGAGGCGGAAGAGCTGCCGCATTCAGCCACCCCTCGCAGTTGCCCCGACTGCTGCTGCCACCGGTACCACACAATCGCCTCCTCCAGCGGCACTCGTGGGCTCCCTTCGAGCAGGGGACAAGGCGGTGGCGTGAGCTGGAGGTAAGTCCCGACGCTGGCACTGGCGGAGGTGATTGGGTGGCGTTAGCAGTCGTGAATGGGCAGCCACGAGGGACGGCCCAGCGCGGCTGCTCCTCCGCTTCTTTCCGTGTATAAGACGACCCTCGATTTTTCCTCTAATGATTTTAGGAAAAATGTGTCATTTTATACACGGAAAAAATACGGTATCGTGGCCAAAGCAGACAGCGGGATTCTAAGACCAGCCATACTAGAAATAGCTTTTTGCAAACCTTTATAACAGTCTAATGCCTTGTGGCCAGTTCTGGTAAATACATTGTGAAAATACGTATTTTTCTTTTTTTTTCTTTTAATACTTTTAATATTTTTAGACTGCTGATCAGTGACACCGTGGCTACCCAGACCACGGATATGAGGATCCTACTGTACATTGTATTAACAGTCCAATCAAGAGACAACAGCAGGAGATGGTGGGAAGGAAATAATTTAATTGTCTTCACTACAAGCCAGTTTCATGAAATATCTTCAGCCTCTTTGAAAAGCTCACGGAGGCTTGGTTTCTTCGCGAGCTGCCGTGCGTACGTCCCAGTTTGGTCCGGAGAATCCTGCAGCCCTGCCTGCAGGAGGATTTGCACGCAGGACGCATGCTGCCCGGCGCATGCCACGTGCAAGGCTGTTGGGAAAGGAGGGGGGGAGAGAAACAACAACAGATTAATATGGCCGTGGAGTTGAAAAAGGGTTTGGTGTTGGGTTGATTTACCATTTGTTCATTAAAGGCATGTATAAATTGCTTTTCTAATGGACAGAGTCGACCAAGTGATGTACCGCTTGGAACAAATAAATACAGTAACCTTGCCGCAAGTGAAAACAGCAACAATAGTGTGATGTAGAGTTATTGTGTAGAGTTGTCACCGCAGACTTTCCCTACAAATAAGATTTTCTGTTGAGACAACACGGATGTCCGAGGCTACGCCAGAAACACGCACACAACGGCTTGGGTCCCAATTTCACTCCGCCGGACAACAGAGCCGGAATCCCCCTCCCGATTCTTGCTTTCTTCAGCAACTTCCCCAGATCTGTTCTTGTGGGTTGGGAGCCCGCGGGCTTAGGAAGGGGACCTTTAGGGGATTAGCAGAGCTGCAGGCTAGCAATTTCAGCGTCATCTTAGAACGGCAGAGCTGGAAGGGGACCCTCGGGATCATCCAGTCCAGCCCTTATCAAGGAAGGCCCAGTGGGGGATTCAAACTCCCAACCTCTGGCCCTGCAGCCAGAGACCTAAACCTTTGAGCTATCCCATAGTGGGCCAGGCTGGGGCTTTGGAATCCTATAGGTTAAGATGGTCTTAATGGGAAATCGGGATACATAGGAAGAGGATGGAGAAACAGGGCTGAAGCTCAGGGTCTCTCTGTTCCGTGTTCCTCTCTGCCTGGCCAGGAATGGCTAGAGGAATGTTACGTTTTTAGTGTGGGATGCTGTGAGGTGTCTGTGTCCTTTCCAGCTACAAATTTTGGCACCCTATAAATGTTATCACCTGGGAACAAAGCTCTAATTGTCCTGCCCTAAATATAGCTCTGGAAATACGGTTTAAAGGGGGTGTAAATGGAACTCCCTCCCACTGGATACCTGGTCAGCCTCGTCTTTGCTGTCCTTCCGCAAGCAGGCAAAGATCTTTCTCTTCAAGCAGGCTTCCTTTTAATGACTGGTGAACTAGTTTGTATTAGTTTTTTAAGAGACTACTATCTTACTGTTTTTCAATGTGTTTTTAATACCGCGTTTCCTTACAAGGTTTAACGGGATCACAGTTTCATTCTTGTTTTAACTTTCAGCATTGTTTCTTTTAATAGTGTAAGCCAGCTTGGGTCATTTAAAGAGAAAGGTGGCATATCAATATTTTAAAGACGAAAATGCTTGCCCAAAGAAGATCGGCGGAAGAACCTCAAGAGGCCGATCTTGAGCATGGGTGCGACAGATTTTAACAAATGGCTTCCACGATCTCGTTAAGAAACAGGAAATAGAGAGTCTTTTTACCAGTTCGGTTTTTCCCATCCTTGGCGTTCAGATCAGCGCCGAGGGACAGAAGCGTCTCGATCGTGCTTGTGTGACCTTCCTGCACGAGGGACGAAAAGATGTCATTTGCGTGTCCCTTTTCCATTCTGCGGTTCCATCATCCCACAACCCAACACCCCTCTAGATGAGGTGGCCCTCCAGACCTGTAGTTTCCCAAATAGCATGGCAGATTGCATGGGTGGCCCTCCAGACCTGTAGTTTCCCAAACAGCATGGCAGGTTGCATGTGTTGTTGTTTAGTCATTAAGTCATGTTTGACTCTTCGTGACCCCATGCACCAGAGCACGCCAGGCCCTCCTGTCTTCCACTGCCTCCCGGAGCTGGGCCAAATTCATGCTGGTTGCTTCAGTGACCCTGTCCAGCCATCTCGTCCTCCGTCGTTCCCTTCTCCTCTTGCCTTCACATTTTTCCAACATCAGGGTCTTTCCAGGGAGTCTTCTTTTCTCATCAGATGGCCTAAGGATTGGAGCCTCACACTTCTCTTCTCATAAGATGGCCAAAGGATTTGAGCCTCATGATTGCATGCATAGCAGACACTAAATCCCAAAAATGTCATTTCTGATCTCTCGCCTTAAAAGGGGTATTGAACAGAAAGGCTGTGGGGAAAACCTTCTGGGCAAAACATGAAGTTCGGAAAACTCCTGAAAAAGGAACGCCCTATATTCGTTGGGGAAAACCTTCTGGGCAAAACATGAAGATCGGAAAACTCCTGAAAAAGGAACGCTCTAAACATCTTTGTGTGATGAATGAGGCTGGCAGGCAATTTAGTTTCATTACCTTTTGGATCTCTTGCAAACCACCTGCTGGCACTTGAAGATGGATTGAGAGAATCACATCCCATTAAGATAAAAAGTTGATTTCTTAGCCATAAATCTGCTGGGGTTTAATCAAGCCACCATCAAGTCCTGATTAAAGCAGCTGGAGGCTCTGAGAGCTGCATACACAATAGTGTCCCTTCTTTCTTCCACGGAACGGGATAAAAAAAATTGTTGAGAAATTATTGTATATTTCAAGCACTGTTCTTTAGCTTTAAAATTTTTGACACTCCTTCCTTGTGTATCTCTGTAAATATACAGGGGAAATCTTGTACAGCACTGGCTTCCAACCTGGGGTCAGAATCCTCCGATGTCAGAATGAGGTCACAAACTGGCCCGTATCTCTGCAAACTGAGAGGCAGTTAACAGTCAGGCTGAGCCTTCAACTGGTGAGGATGGATCTTCCTGTTAGGTCCAGATGAGGGGTGAAGGTGGGCTATATGACCTGTTGACAGCTATGGTGTCATAGTGGATAGAGTGTCAGGCAGGAATTCAGGAGGCATTCAGCGAGGATACTAGAGTGGGCAGGAGCTTAAATAATAATTTTATTCTGAAAAGCGTTAAGGCCCCCTTGTACTAATAGTCAACTACCCATTTTCTTTAAAGATGCTCCTGAAATTATTACCTATTTTCAATTAAGCTATTGACAGGGAAAATATGTCCTGTGACTGAGGATGTCACACTTCAAGTAATGAGTGATCCCCAGGGTTTGGGATCTGTGTCTTTGCTTTTCTACTGGAAGCAGGCTTTCGGGTCACACCAAAGTTTGCTTTGGGTATTGTTACGAAGGCTGTTCGTGGAGCAAGAGGTTGGGAGTTGGATTTCCCTCTGTGCCTTCAGGGAGGAAGTGCACTGTTCTTTAGCTTTAAAATTTTTGACACTCCTTCCTTGTGTATCTCTGTAAATATACAGGGGAAATCTTGTACACACTGGCTTCCAACCTGGGGTCAGAATCCTCCGATGTCAGAATGAGGTCACAAACTGGCCCGTATCTCTGCAAACTGAGAGGCAGTTAACAGTCAGGCTGAGCCTTCAACTGGTGAGGATGGATCTTCCTGTTAGGTCCAGATGAGGGGTGAAGGTGGGCTATATGACCTGTTGACAGCTATGGTGTCATAGTGGATAGAGTGTCAGGCAGGAATTCAGGAGGCATTCAGCGAGGATACTAGAGTGGGCAGGAGCTTAAATAATAATTTTATTCTGAAAAGCGATCTTTGTGTGATGAATGAGGCTGGCAGGCAATTTAGTTTCATTACCTTTTGGATCTCTTGCAAACCACCTGCTGGCACTTGAAGATGGATTGAGAGAATCACATCCCATTAAGATAAAAAGTTGATTTCTTAGCCATAAATCTGCTGGGGTTTAATCAAGCCACCATCAAGTCCTGATTAAAGCAGCTGGAGGCTCTGAGAGCTGCATACACAATAGTGTCCCTTCTTTCTTCCACGGAACGGGATAAAAAAATTGTTGAGAAATTATTGTGTATTTCAAGCACTGTTCTTTAGCTTTAAAATTTTTGACACTCCTTCCTTGTGTATCTCTGTAAATATACAGGGGAAATCTTGTACACACTGGCTTCCAACCTGGGGTCAGAATCCTCCGATGTCAGAATGAGGTCACAAACTGGCCTGTATCTCTGCAAACTGAGAGGCAGTTAACAGTCAGGCTGAGCCTTCAACTGGTGAGGACGGATCTTCCTGTTAGGTTGTGACCTGGCTAGGCTTGTTAGGAGAATGGTAGGAACTACAGTCAAAGAATGCAACTTTAGATATCAAAATACAGAGATTGTGGTTGGTTGCTAAGAAAGTCAGTGGGTCATTAACATTGTGGTCATAGTGTCGTTGATATGCAAATATTTAATTGAAACTTGTGACCGCGGAAGAATAGATGCTTTTGAATTGTGGTGCTGGAGGAGACTCTTGAGAGTCCCCTGGACTGCAAGAAGAACACATCCTCTGGAGCAGTGGTTCTTAACGTGGGCGATAATGCCCCCCAGGGGGCGATTTCATTTTTCAGGGGGGCGGTAGAACGAAAAGGGGCAGCGTGGGGGTGCTGGAGCAGAAGGGGGCAGTAGGGGGGC